AGTGCGGTCGTTGCAATACTCTTTTTAGTGGGTCGTGTATTAGTGGCTAGAGTGACCGTCTTGCAAGTTCCTTGCAATGTCTGTGAGGGATCGAATCCCTATCGCAGAGGTTATATATTCATGATATCAATGCGACATGGCATTAATCCATCTTTCATTGAATACCCCTAATGATATCTGATACGGGATTTGAACTGCTCTTTCTATATATACCGAGTGCCCATGGGGAGTGTGTGTAAAACCGCTATCCTTACTAATGTAGGAGTAGGTAGGTAATGCCTATGGATGCCAGACAGCTCCTATTTGCACACTCCTTTTAGTGGGTCGCGTATCTGTGGTTAGAGTGACCGTCTTGCAACTTGCCTTGCAATGTCTGTGAGGGTTTGAATCCCTATATGTATATATGTATGTATGTATATGTATATATATATATTTATATATATATACATATATATACATTATTAATATATATATATATAATATATATATATATATATATATATATATATATATTATATATATATATATATATATATATTTGTTTATTTATGTGTTTGTCTGTGTCTGTTATGTAAGATATATTCACTGCATTCATTAATTCTTGTTAGTGGACTTTATGTAATAAAATTATGCATAACAGTAATGATAATATAAATTATATTGATTATGATAAAGATGTAGTAAACGTAAACCACTAACTTTAATAATAACTAAACAATCAAGAAGTATTTAATAAAAGGAAATGATAATGATCCCAGTGACATTACCAGAATGACAATGACAGTGACAAAATGGCAACTACAGCACCACATACAGCAAAGTCGATAATAATGATGATCATTGTTATTATTAACATTGTCATCAACATTAACATCATCAATATGAGCAACATTAGATTAAGACCAACCTCAATAACAACAGGAACCAACATCAGTAATGACAACAACCACCATCAGAATCTGATTCACCCCTTAAACCCTTTCAGCACCCAAATACCATTAGCATCCCCATCTCAAGCACCAAACCCCTACTGCCCACCCCTTGTCACCGCTACTCTTACCACCACCCCTACTGCTGCTGCTGTCTGCCACAACCATTACCACTACCACTGCTACCAGTACTACCCACCACCATCATTGATACTATTATTATTATTGCTACCATCATTGCTGCCATTATTACCTCTGCCATTACTGACACCATTAATATTGCAGCCACCATTACCACTATCATCTCCACAATAGTTCTTTACATATTAACATATTACTGGCAGGCTTGTAGAGCCAATTCATTTATAGTTTGTTGTAATTGTTGATCCAGAAAGAAGCTATGGTTTGAAAATAAAGTATATTTTAATTTCTTTAAAAGTTTAGGAATGTTAACAAAATTTAACTTTGGAATAAGTGCCAGAGACCTTTCTTTATGGTGCAGGTGAGATGATTCATCATATTTTCCAGGAACTTTTATAGTTTTGGCAGATGGATCAGTAGAGTTAGTCAGCATCCAATCACAAGTAGCTTACGACGGACCATGGCTACAGCAGGAGAAGGGTCAGCAAGTGATGGCACAGGGAAGTTAAACAGACTTGCATCTGAGAAGAGTCCATACCTGTTGCAGCATGCTAGCAACCCTGTTGACTGGTAAGCATAGGATGGGTTTGTACGGAATTTCTAGTGTGTGCCAAACATAGTGTCAGAGGAGGACAATTTTTGTTGTATCAAGAAACCTAGTTTTTTATCTTGAAGTGATAGATGCTAATATGTTTTTGCCTTTGTATATATTTTTCTTTGTGTTGAACTATGTTTGTAACATTATATGAGGCAGCCTGAAATTGAAAGTTATTGAATTTCAGTAAAGAATTTGATTTGTCTCTTAAATTTTTGATTTGTGAAATTTTCAAGGGTATTGAAATATGTTTATACATGAAACCAGATATCAAGCTCAATTTTGCCGCCATCTTAACCTGTTTGATCCGGTTGCGTCATGGAAATTACGGTGCCTAAAACACAAGCAATTTGTTACATAAGTGGCCAACATCCCAGGCATATGGCACATAGGCCAGGTACGCAAGAACACCCATGAGCTGTGTCAAAGCTCTGTGTCCCCCTTTTGCATATTTATTATGTTTAAACCTTTTAGCTTTATGGCCATTTTCTAAGGTCTTTTGATTTGCTTTATCCAGATGGTAATTGCTTATTTTCCTTGCACAGACATTATATTATCTCTCTATGTAGTAAATAACTTAGAGCAAGAAAAAAAAAAGAAAAAAGAAATTGGAACTTTTGGTTATGTATGTCATATATATCATTTTTTCATAATTTTCAACTTTACATAAATAAAACTATGCTCCCGGTCACAGTGGCTAGGAATATGGTGCACAGCATAGAAATGACATCCTCCCTGGAGCTAGCACTTTTCTAGTCACAGCTTATGTACGTTACATTCCACATTCGTTTATCAATGGGAGTAATGGTAAAGCCCCCTTCTAAGTGCCAAATAAGTCAAATCACACTCCAAGAGGTTTGTGCACTTGTGGCGAGTCTTTTCCTTCACCCTGGCCTTCGCTCATGCGGCAAGTTTGCATCATCTGAGCTGATGCCAATTTGCCCGATGATGGCATGTTCATGTCACCTGTCCCTTGACTCAAGTTTTTCCATGACGTGACCACAACATAATTTGGATCCAATGGATTAAAGCATACAAAATATATAAATGAACACTTCTTGAACTGTGATCCAGATTTTTTTTTTAATTTTTTTAAAACAACCTCATTGTCAGAAAAAAAAAGAAATGTTACTTGTCCATGACAGAAAGTTTCTTGGTTGTTTCAGCATTATCACTATCAACTTTAAATGATTTCTATGAAATCATTGTAAGCTCCTATCCATGTATCAGTCTCTTTGAATCAAATTATATCCAATTAGAATATTAGTTTATTGATATTTCTTTTTTCAAGTTTAACCCATTAGATCTGGGTGCCTCACTGTCCAAATATGACCAAAAATTCTGTAATAAGACTCCATATCATCTCTCTTAGTGTATAACTCTACAATAACAAGTAGTTATTTGAATAGTTTTTTTATATTTCCATAAAATTAAATTTTCTGTAGTGCTCCTTAGATTGCTGGCCATGGTGAGCTGGAATTGGATCCAGCATGGAAATAATGTCCTCTATTCCATACTTATTAGCTGATAGATATAATGCAAGAACCTTCCTAAATGCTCACCAACAAGTTTTGTGGAGAGTCATTCCCATCACACTGACCTTCAGTAGAAATTCATGTCACCCAGATCCAAGGAGATAAACCCACTGACTGCAATTTTGCAGCTGTGCTGTACTAACTAGCTGTGAAATTTTCTTATTTCATAATTTTTTTTTATTCTCTCATGGATACTCAAATAAGCCTAATGCCCAGATTTTGAGCCATGTGCAGGCAGTGAACCACTCTGTTGATATCCACTGGTCCATGAGGGTAGAGTATAACATCCATGAACATATCATAGTAGAGGGACATCTCCAGGAAGGACACATTTCTCTTGTGCAAAAACCTATTCCTGCTTCTATTACCAGTGGGGCAGGTTGTGTTATGGAGAATGGAATAATACAAAGTAACACAAATGGACTGTTACTTATTGTTACTGCTGTAGTACAAAGTTTAAACTACCTGGAGAGATAATAAAGAGTCAGTTGAAAAAAAACGTTCTATTACTGTCTTGATGTAGTGTGAATATTGTTAAACAGAAAAAAACACACAAATAAGCCTATTACTTATTATTAATCATTAAGGGGGCCATCATGCTGAATTTTTGACAAATATTTTTTTTAATATTCCAAAATTTGAAAAAAATCTTATGTAATCTAGTAGGTTTTGACAATCCTGTGACATAATATTTGTGCCAAATATGTAAAAATAAAGGAGTTATGACTAAATCTCTAAACCTCCCCAACTCAGGCTCCGATGTTTACTTTGTCACATCTGTGTAAATATACTCGACAAATTTTTTCTTGGGATTTTTTAAAATTTATTTTGGTATTCTCTGGCAGCTAGCTGGCAAGTCTGCGTACTTCATCAGCTGATAGCCATGATTAAGAGACACGGTGGGTAGTCATCACCAGAGAGGCAGAGGGAGAGGCTGCGCATTTCCTGCCTTGGCAACACCATCCCATAGATGTACCCCTGATGCGCCCTCATCACACACTAAGAGGACACTACTAATGATAAATGTCATTCCTGTAACTAATAAACGTAATATGATGAGAAATGCATCTCAATCACAGCTGCAGCAGTTGTTTATTTGTATGAAATACCTCATGGGGTACTGTAAAGTCTATGATGACACACGGTACTTCTACAATCATGTGCAGTTATTGCCATTAGTACCTTGCAAAAGGGGGGGACCAGGTACTAGCTACACTTCAGAATACCATGTGCATACCATAGAATACATCAAGGTTGATGCAGAGATCAGATTTCTTAAAAAAGAAAAAAAGAAAAAGGAAATGGAGGAAAAAGTATCCTCAACTTCAAATCCTGATATCTCAAAACTACGCCCTTGCCCACATTTTTTGATGTCCATAACTACTTGAGCGATTCTGATGGGGCTTGGATCATTTGACAGCTGAATAAATTTGCGATTTTTGCGATGATGTGATTTTCATTTCAGGTGATAAAAGTCTATATATTATATTTTATATTCATGATAATGAACATTAAAGGGAAAAAAAAATCCCACCAAACTAAGAGGAAATTTCAAAGTCCAAATTGTATGATATTTAAGTATTGCTATAGAGTATATGTTTTTTTTTTTTCTTTTTTAAGAAGTTTAGTCAATGAATAAGTGAGATTTATGTATTTATATATTTTTTTCAAGAACTTGTTTTTTGAAAATAACTTCATGGCTTTTTATCCAAATGATATGAAACTTGGTGGTGTAAACCACAGTATATGTACATATAACATATTAAAAATTGCGAAAATCCAATCATAATTAGCAAACTTTGTTCTTGAGTGTTAAGGGGGCTGTCACGCTCATGTCAGTTATGATCGGATATTCATGATTTTTTAATGTGTTATAAATACATATAAATTGATGAACACCAAGTTTCATATCATTTGGATTATAAATAACAATGTTATGTATGAAAAACAAGTTTTTGAACAATCACAAACTCTGTAAAATCGCACTTGTCCATTGAATAAACTTGTTGAAAATATGTTTTAAATTTCCTTTTAGTTTAATGGGAATTTATTTTTTATAAATGTCCAGTCTTAATGAACATCACAATATGATATATGGACTACTATTACCTAAAATGAAAATTTTCTCTAAGGAAACCATTGCAAATATATTCAGCTTTTAAATTATCTAAACGCCATTAGAAACGCCCAAGTATTTATGGATGAATAAAAAAGATGCAGACAAATGTTGACAAAAGTGTGGTTTTGAGATATCGGGCTCCGAAATTTAGGACACCCTCAATTTTTTTTTTTTTTTTTCCTTTTTTAAAATTTTAATCTGCAGCATTCTTGCTGTATTCTATGGCATTCACATGGTATTCTGAAGTGTAGCTGGTACATTGTCCCCTCCTTTTGCAAAGTACTAATGGTAATAACTGCACATGATTGTGGAAGTACCATGTGTCACCACAGGATTTGCAGTGCCTAACCTTACCACATGAGGTATTTAAATGTATAAACAACTGGTGCAGCTGTGATTAGGAAGTATTTCTGATCATATTACATTTATTAAATACTAAACTAACATCTACAATTAGCAGTGTCCCCTTACTGTGTTATATGGGCTTACATCTGTGATATGGTGTTGTGAGGGTAGGAGCTGGCAACCTTTCTCTCTGATTTTCTGGTGGAGTTTTGTCTCCCAGAGCCCCAGTCTTTACGATCAGCTGATGGGTAAACAGAGTTGCCAGCTAGCTACCAGAGAATGCCAAAATAAACCGAAAAAAAGAAATTGATAAAAACAAATTTGTTGAGTAAATTTTCATGGACGCGACAAAATAAGTATTGGAGCGGGAGGTAGGGGGGGGTCAGAGATTTAGTTACAACTCCTTTACTTTCACATATTCAGCAATAAAATTATGTCACAGGATTGCCAAAGCCCATTAGATTACAGGAGATTTTTTCAAATTTCAAGTATTTTTGAAAATTTCTGTTGCGATGGCCCCCTTAATGTTATTTTACAAAGTTTGAAATACCTGGAGTATAACAAAATATAGAGTTAGCTGCACAAAAACAATCTGTTATCATCTTGATAAAGTGTGATGAATGACAAGTAAACCTTTGAACAATGCTAAACAAAAATATGCATCCAAAGAAAAAAGGCTAATAGCATTACAAGTGAAGTGAAGATTTTTATATCTTTAAAAATTGTATAAAAATACTAGCTTGTAGGTGGCTAATGTTGCTCGCAAACTACCAAAGGAGCAGGTTGCAAACGGGAAACTGTCGAGGCACGTCAATAGTTCATGTCCACTTGCCTTTCTTTTACTTGGTGTCATTGGGATAATCTTGATCTACAATACTTTTTTATAACTTTTCACTGCATGGTAAATAAGAAATGACTTTGGATAGTAAACTAAGCATGTAGATAGAAAGTTGTAGTTTAGTTCACATGTTCTGATAACTGGCAGACAGTATTAACAAACGCATCAGTTTTCTGCAGAATTAATGATTATTTACAGTTTAACAACTTTTGTCTTAACAGGTTTCCATGGAGTGAAGAAGCCTTCAGTGTAGCCAAAAGAGAAAACAAGCTAATTTTTCTTAGTGTAGGCTACTCAACATGCCACTGGTGTCATGTAATGGAAAGGGAGAGCTTTGAGAATCCAGACATAGCAAAAATAATGAATGCAAATTTCATTAATGTTAAAGTGGACAGGGAAGAACGACCCGATGTGGACAAAGTTTATATGACGTTTGTAACAGTAAGTATGATAGCTCTGGTGGCTTCATCTGTTTTTGTATTCACACTTTATTTATTTATTTGAGTGTAATTTTTTTTCTTTCATTCTGAGTATGATTTTGAACAGTGAAGAAGGTACAGAGTAAGAGAGAGAAAGAGGGGAAGGGAGGGAGAGAGGGAGTATGAGAGAGAAAGAGAGGGAGGAAGGAAGTAAAAGAGAAAGATGGGGAGGTAGAGAGTAAGAGAGAGAGAGAGGAAGAGTAAGAAATTAAAAGAGAGGGAGGGAGGAAGGAGAGGAAGAAAGTGGGAGAGGGTGTAAGAGGGAGAAAGAGAGGGAGGGAGGAAGGAGAGGAAGAAAGCGGGAGAGGGTATAAGAGGGAGAAAGAGAGGGAGGGAGAGAGAGAGTAAGAGAGAGAAAGGAATGGAGGGAGAGAGTGTGAGAGAAAGAGAGGGAAGGAAGGAGTAAGAGAGAGAAAAGGGAGAGTGGGGTAAGAGAGAGAGAGTAGAGAGAGTGAGAGAGAAAGAGAAAGAGAGAAGGAGAGGGATTAATATCATATTAATTTAGGAAAGTAAAACAAAAGCCATAGACTATGAGTATTCTTATTTCATTCTAATTTCACACTTACTATGTTCATTCACAAGTAGAAAAGAGGCAGAGCCGTTGACAGTGGCACTCATATGATTAGTTGGGGGTGAGGGAGACAAAGGAGTGCCAAGGAAATGGGAGGTGAGAGTGTGTATAGTAATTTCAATATGCCTTACATTACAAGAATTTATAATTGCACTAATGTTTTTATACTATATTAATTCACAAAGAGAAAAGATGCAATAATAATATCAGGACCTTGTTACATGTGATTGGCTCAGAGAGTCAAAGGGGCACAAGAGGGTGGGAGAATAGAATGGCTTTAGGTGGGTGTACCTGTAATTAACTTACTGAACAGTACTAGAGTTACCGTGTCATATTCTCTACTTTCCATTGACAGTGAGAAAAATGGGAGAAAATAGTCTGCAAGTTTTTGAGAGAGACTGCTCTATTGTGGCCACTTTGATCCATTGTTTTTAAGAAAAGCCATAACTATGAATATTCAGACTTTAGGGTTTGAAAAGGTATCATATTGTAATTTATGAAACACTGTTTTTATGTGCTATCTGAAACTGTATTTAGAATAAAGAAGACAGCAAATGTCTGTAGAATTATTTCTGATTGGACCAACTTTTGATAGGCTCCTTTAACCTCAGGGTAGTCAGTACAAAACTGCATGACTTATTTGATGGCACATAAGATGCACATCCTCCCCCCAAAAAAAGGCAAAATAATTCACCCTTGGTCTGATATTTAAAGGTGTAGACATCTTTTGTCCCAGAATATACCCTACTGAAATTGTGATCCATCCAATGTGCTGATGTCAGTTATGGTATTTTTATATGGATCCTGAATAGTTTTATATCCAGTACTGAAAAGAGGTTTTATGTGTGCATGGTTATTATAAATATATATATATATATATATATATATATATATATATATATATATATATATATATATATATATATATATATTTCCATTTCCATTCATATGTTCATTCATGTTATTACTAATAACCAAAGGGGTAATTTGTAATGCTATTTTTCACTGATTTGATCAGGCTTCTAGTGGCAGGGGAGGCTGGCCAATGAGTGTGTTTCTTACCCCTGATTTGGTACCTGTTGCTGGGGGTACATATTTCCCTCCTGAGGATCGCTTTGGTCGTATTGGTTTTGGAACATTGCTGAATAGTTTGTCTCAAAAGGTAGGCATAGCACTCTGGGTGAATCCAGTCTAAGAGAAAATGTTGACATTAACAGTTATAAATAGTTTAAATAATCACAGTGGCTATATTTATGGTACCGTAATTTACTCAGAAGCAAGATTTACGGCACTTCCTGTTGCGCATGCTCATCAAGATATTTTCTTTCAC